ACACGCACAGAATCAGACACTACAAACACCTGCCTTGGGGGTGAAGTAAAGTCACAGCCTCCTCACCCCACTGTGCCCCTGGGGTTGGAGGACCTTGTCTGTGTCAGGACAGTGTCCCTCCCCGGGAACGTGACATGAGGGCAGACTGGGGCCAGGCTCAGGGGCAGAGGCTGGGACATGAGGGACTGGAAGGGGGCTGTGGGGCCAGGGAAGCCCTGTACATCTTCCCAGTGTGGTTTAGAGCTGCTCACCCTGATTCTCCCTGATTCCTTTCTGTAAAATGGGGATGGAGGTGCCCCCATTCTTCATAAGGGAAGTAATAAGTGCTCATACCTCTGTGCCAGGCACCATGCGGTACTAACCCTTACAAACACTCCATGAAGTGGGTGCTGTTAGAACTCCAGTCACAGCTCAGAAAAATCAGCCACCAAAAGTGAAGTGACCTGCCAGAGGCCCCAGAGCAGAAAGCGTGAGCTCCAGGATGTGCCGTGGCAACCCTGCCGGAGTCTGTGCTCTGAATGGTCCCACTACCTAGCCCTCTGCAGGACTTGCCTTCCAGAGGCACCCAGTCAACAAAGCCACTTTCCTTAAACCTGCCAGGAAGCCACTTTCCTTAAACCTGCCAGGAATAGCGCTGCCGCTTCCTTGTTCCTCTTCTGGCTGGCTGGCCCTGGCTTTCCTCTGTGACCCCAGATCCAGGCACTGAGGCCAGGTCTTACAGTGGCGTTACAGCCTCCCCGCCGCCTGTGGCAAAGGCTCAGGCCCACTAGGGGCCCAGACCCTGGGGCAGAGAAGCTGCCCTCTCCTTACTGAAGCTTTAAGCTCTGTGGAGAGTGGGCTGGGGAGACCTCAGTCCCTTCCTGGGCTAGGGGGAGGGGTAGCTTCTGACTTCTGGTCTTTATGGCAGGGAGGGAGAGCTTTGGAAGGGTTCACAGCTCCGCCCTCAATGTCCCTTTTTGCCTGTGAGCTTCGCCTGCGAGACCCAACCCTCTGCTTCCCAGCTGCAAGGAGGAGTTTCCCAGCCCTGTGGGCCCACAGGGACGGCTGTCCTCACTTCCTCCCTTTGGCCCCCTCCGCCTGCTGAGCCCAGGGCCCAGCCCTGCCCCCTACCCAGGCTCACCCCACAGCCAGGCCTGAGCTCAGGCGTGGGAATGGGGCTGAGACCAGCCAGTGAAGGGTGGCCTTGGCATTTGGGGCCAAGCCTGAGACTACTGGAGTGGGAAGGGGTGTTGAATGGAGTCCAGGGAAGAAACTTATAGGTGGAGAGAGGAATACACTGGTCACGTCCATGATTTCAGAGATGAGGACTACTTATTGTTATTATTTGTTATTTACTGAGCATTTACCATGTGTCTACCAACTCTAAATTCTTATATAATCTCACTTAATGCTTACTCAAGTCTATAAAGTAGATGTGGTGATCCCCAGTTTACAGATAGGGAAATTGAGGTGCAGAGAAGTTGGTGGTCGAAAGCCACGTGGAATTGGCTGAGCAGGGATTTAAACCTAGCTCAGTCTGCTTCTTCTGTAAACTTGTGAGAGAGAGGAAAAATCCATCTGGAAACTCCAGGCGATGGAGTAACTTAAAGGGGCAGGGAAACTGTCCAGGAGCCCCAGAGGGGTGGACTTGGGTTTATTTTCTTTTCGGAGTCTCCTCCTGGATCTTAAGCGGAGACAGGGCCTGTACCCACGTTGGGCTTCCTGCGAACTGGAGCTGCTCTCTGGGGTCAGGACCGGCCGGGGCCGGGGAGGGTGGAGGTATCCATGGGAAAAGCGCGCGCGGTGGGGGTTTGAGCCCTCCCTGAACAAAGCCTGGGTGGGAGCGGCCTGTGTGTCCCCACCCCGCCT